AGAAGTCTGTAAGTGCATTTTCTTGTAACAACATGAGATGGCAGGGTGAGGATGAGGAAAATGAGGCAATAGAAAATCATGCCACATTGCTGAACCTGCTCAGTGACAAAGCTAATATGACAACTTTATAGTTTCTGACACTCCAGTTGTTTCTGATCCAATATGCTGTACTCGAACTAAAGTGGCAAAATGTTTTATTAAGTCTGTAGAAAGATTCTAATATTTTACGATATAATACTTCAACTTTCTGGAAGCAAATGAACAAAAGTCCTCAGTCCCTTTGCACATGATGTTATTTCTGCCAGGAACTCTCACACCACTGCCATTTCACTGAATTTGCACCAAATTGCCTGTTTCCACTTTAATGAGATTGTTCTTTAGAAACATTTATCTGATCATTACTAATATCACCAACTAATTATCATAGTTTTGTCCATGCTATATTGTAATCCCATGTTTAGCTATTCATCTTCCCCACTAAACTGCAAACTATGCGGAGTCAAGAATCATGTCTCTCTTAGATGTCACTTTATCCTTCACATGTAGTTCAATACTTGGCACATTAATGGCCTCAATGGCCACAAAATGAGTAGGTAACAATTTTTCTACTCTTGCATTTGAATGTAAATTAAGCTGTCACTTTGGGTGTATCATTAAAAAGTAGAAAGTCTCCCAAAGGAACATTGTGTGTCCCATATGCCTTCCACACTGAAGTATTTCTCTTAGCAATATTAATACAGTATTACCTAGTAGTTGGTGTAGGTCTTGACTCTGTAAACATCAGGAGATACTATACATGGAAAGAGCAAGAGCTTCATTTATTTGAGTCTTTTAGTAAAAGAAAAGATTTATACTAAATGCCAAGGACAAGGAATGTGGTTAAAATTTGGGATACAGAACCAAGAATTTGAAATTGGTTAAGATTTGTAGCTATAAGAGGTTGGGCATTAGAAAAACCTGCCCAGTGAGATTACAGTGAACAGCATTTGAGGAGTCAGTAGCCCACCTTGATAGTTTAAATTACTTTGGTTGTTTGAGAAGCAAGTAAAAGAGAGTTTTAAGAGGGATTAGATTAAGGTCAAATGTGCAAGAAGCTAACTTCAAAAGTATAAATCTTAAAAGTATGACCAAAAGAAGATTATGTTACTAAGGATGACATGATTTAAGATAGAAGCTCTATGGATTATATATTATATATTATATAATGGATCATTGGCATGGAAAAGAAAAAATGCCAGCTACTTTGTAAGACTGTTCTAGTAGTCAGTTTAAGAGAGGAGAGCAATTCACAAGAGCTATCATTGACTCTGGTGGTGTCCTGCTGAATCATGCATGGTGTCAAAAGAATAGAGAATTTTCTTGAAAAATGAATACATACATTCACCACTCATATTAAACTAGATGGAAATGAAGCTGAACAGCGAACAGCAAACAAAATGTAAACAGTTCTTGATTTATTCAGAGACTATGGGGGTTGACAAAAAGAAAGAAAAGCAAAAAATCTTGTGTTGTGTATGGATATTACATTTACATCTAAGAAAAATTGGAACCAATTTAGTTATTGTAATCTGGATGTTTTATGAAAACTGCAACCTCCAGTAAAACCATCACTCATGAGAAATGACACCTTTTCATTTTATTGTGAGTCTGGAAATATATAGCTCAGTTTTACCTTTAGAATTATTTTTATGATATCAAAATGTAACATAGCAATGTATTTGGGATAAACATAAAAATCCTTGCTCACAAGAATATATTGAATTAGTAAATGTAATGTTTTAAAACCTTATTAATATATCATGGTAGTTGAAGATAAAAGATATTTTATAGGAATTGCATTTTGCATTCAATTTTCTGAAGTTCTGAAATATAAATATTAATAATATGGTATGCGCACTTTAAGGATTAAACCACAAGTGTGCATTTTAAAAAGAGGCACTGAAAACCTGAATCAATATTTTTGCAATAAGTGTCAAAATTTAAACTTAAAATTTGTGTTAGTGCCATTGGCTCAGATTTTAATTGAAAATTTTTAACAGAAAGACAACACACTGGGCCTCCCTGGTGGTGCAAGGGGTTAAGACGCAACCTATGAAGCTCTCCGCAGCCACTGCAACAAGAGTTCGATGCCTGGCCAGGAGCTACCACATGGCATAGCACACCTCTCCTCACTCGCCTGCTGCTCCCCTCAGCAGTGTATTTCAGTCAATCTGCTTGTTCTGCTCCACACTCTGTCTCTGGTGAATCCTCTTACCCGCCTCCCCACACCTCTGGCCTATACCCCAGTACTTATACGCATAAATGAATAAATCTTTTTTTAAAAAAAAAGCTTTAGGAAAAAAAAGAAAGAAAACACACTTCTAACACTTTAACTACTAATTAGCATCCTTCCCAGATTCAGAGCAGAAGTTTTCAATAAACAACACGAGTGAACTTGATTCCTTCACCTCTATACATGGAATTATTTACAGAGAAAACAAGGAAAAATTAATTTCCCTAAGTATGTGTCCTTCTCTAAATTTGATTGACATATTGAGTACTCAGAATGTACTCAGCACTGGATTAAGAATTCACAGACATTATCTGGCCTTTGTGAGGCCTTACTAAGACATCAGTTGATGTCTTAGTTCAGAGAGAGATTAAGTAGTGGGTCCAAAAAACCACACAGCTAGTCAACTTTAGAATTAGGATTTGTATCTGGACCTACCTTGAATACTTGCCTTTCCTATTATTCTTCTTTGTCTCACTTTGCCATATGGATTGACTTTTAGTGTTCAAAGTATAGGTCAGGGAAAAATATAGAAATATTAATTTAAAATTTAGAAATGCACTTCAAATAGAGATTGAGAAGATTTGGAATTATTTAGCAAAGAGTATAATACTAAAAATTCTTTGTATATGATTATTTGGTACTTTCCTTCTCTTTAAAATTTTTCTTCAGAGTGTTGGAGGTAGAGTTCAATAGGTTATATAAAAGACATTTTCAACAGACATTTTTACTGTTTGCAATACTGTTCTCTTCTTATGGAGAGAGAACCACATTCCTGTCCCTGTGAAACTTAGGTGGACCATGTGATTGTCCAGATGGCCAATGAAATGCTGGTGTGAGAGAAATAAGTTAGTTTCATATAGTCACATACATTCTTTTTCAATTCTCTAGTCATTCTTCGCTGTCAGAAATATAAAGGGAGTTCATTTGATATGCTTTGTTGTATTAAGCTATTGACATTTTTGCATTTTGTTACCATAGCAAAACCTAACCTCTCTTGACTGATTGTTACCCCTAAACAGATTATGCCATTCTTATATGACCTATTTCAGTGAAAACAGGGATTTCCTATAATACACACATACCTTTTCAGCATATAAATCATATCTAAAATTCTACCATAACAGATGATGATATAAATTGTTAATGAATTTTTGTCTTTAAAATACACTTTGGAAAAGGAGACATAAAAGTTTATCAATTACCAGCACTTTAGTGTACATAAGATACTTCCAATTAATAGTAATTTCAGGTAAATAATAAGCATACCTTGATATAAGTGTCTGAGCAACTCTCCAGATCTGAATAAAGGCAGGGAAAAATCTACAAAATAGCTGTTAGTAAAAGAATCTAGAAGAGTGATGAAAAAGAATTATTGAAAACTATAAAATGTCAATTTCAGTGTCATTCTAAGTGAGGGTAAAGTCCCCAATGACATTGTACTCAATATTCTACCGTTTGAATACTAATACTTCAAAATGTATGAGAGATGAAATGAAAGTCCATAATTTATTTTTTAAATAATATTTATTTGGTTTTTGTTTAATGCAAAATGTTATAAAATAAAAATGATTCTCTATAATGTCCCAACTAAGACAGTCCCTTTTGATAAGAAAATAAATTATATACAAATGTTAAGAATATTAAATAGTTTATAAAAACACAAAAATTAAAGCCCTCCTTTTCAGGCTGTCACCATTTTAATGTCCTTCTTAAAAAATATTATCATATAACATGCCTGGATCAAGAAGATATGGTACATATACACAATGGAATATTACTCAGCAATCAAAAAAGATAAACTCATGCAATTTGCGGCAACATGGATGAGGCTAGAAGGGATCATGCTCAGTGAAAGAAGCAAGAAACTAAAAGAAAAATACCGGATGGTCTCACTCATAGCAGGAATCTAGAAAACCTAAATAAGGGACCAGGAAAAAGAATAACTATAAGAAAGAAAATATCAAAATCAACAAACAACTATGAACCAGAGACACGCTATGGGGGGAAGGGGGGAAAGGAGGGATTGAGGTCAAAATAAGGGGGTTGCAATTGTATGGGGAATATAAAAATAAAAAACTATATCATATAACAAACAGCATCTAACTTTATTAACATTTCCCTTACCATTTCTATTTATATTTCCATTTATTTAATGCTAATATACATGTAGATATATTATGTTCATATAAAATATGTCATATTGTATCTTATTGCACAAATGCAATCCTTAATTAGTTTTCTTTTAATAACAATCATGAAAGGTTTTCTAAATCACCACATCTCATTGTTATAGTTGTTACCAAGTATCTTATTCAACCAGTCTCCTACTGAAGAACATTGGAGTTTCTAATTTTGCTGACATAGACAATGCAGTAATAGTTAACCTTCATATATTTTCCCATTAATTTGCAAGTACATCTTTGAAGTAAATTCCTAGCCTGAAGTTTTTGAATCAAGAAATTGTGTGTATTTTAAATAATTTGGAGAAGTAATGCCCCCCAAAATTTGCACTGATTTACATGTCCACCAACATGTATATGTTTATTTCCCTATTGCTAACTTTACCTAAGTCCTAGCAACTTTTTTTCAACTTATTAAGGTATAGTTGGTAGATAAATTTGTAAGATATTGAATGGACTTCTCTCATTTCCTCTTCCTTTTATGATGCTATCCCTTCCCCTGAAGCACAGTGCAGAATACTTAGCCAATTTCATATGAAAATGGTTATGAATCAACAGAAAATACATGTAAGTATTTATCAAAATATTTTCCTGTTCAACACCAATGGCAACATTCTGGGGTATTTTTCCAACTAAGAGGTAATATGAATCAAATGTTAAAATGATTTTCAATGTTTTTAAATTTTAAGCAATCATTATTGCCATTAGAGGTTTTATCCAACTCTGCCCTTCAAAGTCATTTAAGTAGGAATCTTTATCTCTTCTTTTATTACTCTCAAACTCATTGGGAGGTTGCATTAGCTCTCTATAGAAAATTTATAGCTTTGTAATTCTAACAATAACCTCTTTAAAAGGCATGGTATCTTAATCATCTCCATACCTCCCTCCTATGACCATGTCGCATACAAGTAATACTTAGAAATGCCTGGAAAGTATCTAGTGCACTGAATAAAGATGATGGTGGTGACTTATTATTCTTTCCTTAATTTTAGCTTATTTCCTTCGAAAGCATCTATAATTCCTTGCAGAGTTTCATTTCAATTTGAAACAACATTTACTGTTGACAAGCCATATAAGCAAGTCACTAGCATTCAGATACATTTATACAAACATCTTTTTTCAGTAGCTTTGCATTAATTACAAAATACCAATCAGTATCATTATTTTAAAAAGAAAAGGAAAATAAAAATGAAAAAAAAAATCTACAAGTAAATTTAGCTCACCCAGAAGACAGGAAATGATGAAACCACTTTTCACTATGGGTACTCCATTTTCACTGAGAAAAAACTTGATTCAGACACACTGACAGGCTAAAAGCTGCCTTGGCCAAGGAGGAGAAACTTAGTGCCTAGTAATCAAAGTGGAGGACTTCTAAAATAAGGAGTCTAGGTAGTGTTTCATCTAGGGAAGGCACAAAGCCCTACTGTACTAAGGTTGAAGCAATTACTGAAATGTCAGGGTTGCACAGCAAAGAGAAGCTACAAAGAATCTTATGGCAGATGACAGGCTTTTTTTATTTTTTTATAGCATTCACTTTACAAATGTTTTCAGTAAACGTGTGCTTCAGAGGTAGTTAGTTCAGAAATCTGCAGGATAGATAGCGTCAGGAATGAAAGACATGAGCAATTGAGAAATTGAAAGAAGCTTCTCTTGGATGTTAATGCTTTGCTGGAACTGACATTTTGGAGCTACAGAAAGTAATTTAATACCAAACATGAAGCACCAAAGATGTTTTTTTTCCTTTGAGAAAGCTAACAGGGTGGTGTGGGGAGGACAAAGAGGAGAAACCTGAGGCATTGGTGCTCTTTGGCCAATAGAACATATTCCAGGGGAAATTTTTGGAGCCTCTCAAAATTGAATTAGAGGAATACCAACCTTATACACAGGTTTTCAGAATATATGCACAACTAGTATAATGAATAAAACTGAAGCAATCCTTTCCCTTTTTGCAACGATTTTTGAAAATTTCTGGTTACAAAATAGAAAAGTATTTTATTCTCAATCACTCCCTTAAAGCACACATCACAGGTAATATCAGCTTTCATTTTTTGTTTTTTGCTTGATTCCCACAATGATATTCATAACAATGTCAAAATCTGTGCTAAATAAAAGATTACTTGTATAGGCAGAATAGATTCCCCTTATTTGAATATTAAGAGTTGTACTAAAATTTTCTTTCTCTTTTTTTCACATTCCTTCACTTATACTGTCAATCAGGGGACCATCTCATTTAAGTTATGATATTCTAATTCATTATGAAAAAAATTTTAAATAGATAAATCCTAGTGATTTTCTAAAGGTATGAGCAGACATTTGATTTAAAAAGGACAGAAGAGACCCTCAAATCGTAGAGAAGTATATTTAGTAAAGATTTTTTTTTAAAGATTTATTTATTTATTTATACAAGCACTGGAAGCGCAGGAGGGTGAGAGAATTCACCAGAGCCAGAGCGAGGATCAGAGCAGGCAGAAGGACCGAAGTACACTGCTGAGGGGAGCAGTGGGCGGCAGGAGAGGTCTGCCCGCCATGTGGGACCCTCCTCCAGTGGCCGGGTCGCAGCTGGGGATCGAACCGGTGCTGAAGAGGCTGCGGGCAGCTTCGCAACCCAGCGCTCAACCACTGCGCCACCGGGGAGGCCCAGTAAAGATAATTTCTGAGAATAGTACAAGACTTAGTTATTCAATATTAGTCACTGTGTTATGATGTGTTGAGAAAGACTATGGAGATATGATATAATTATTGGTCTTAAAAAGAAAAGTGTATAACTTTTGAATATTGCCAAGGCAGCACACAATTAAATATAAGAAGTTTAAAAGAAATGTAGTACATGATGCCCTTAAACTTGGAAATTATATATTTTGATCCAGTGTAAGCTCTTGTTTAGGAAAAGAACGTCGAAAATTTATAAGAAAATGGTAAGTTATTGTTAGTAATTGAATACTTTCTGAGATAATGAGTGCCTCCCTTTTAATAAGTTGGAATTTTGTCCATAATAGAAATCTGAAAACTCAGTACAATTTATCAATGAATGAGGAGTATGGGGTTACTATGCAACCTCCTTATCAATTCTGATAATATGTTGAAAAACTAAACATAAAAATTATTATAGTAAATAAATCAATACTTAATAAAATATTACATTCTATGTCAATATTTGACTTGATTTTGCTTCTAGCAATGTATTATATCCAAATTAATGTCCTAAGTAGGTTTTAAAAAGTGAAAGTATAGTGATTTATCATTAGAACTCTTCATGACATTATTTTAGTATTATTTGTTCCAAAAAGCACAGAAACTTCTGTTGCTGCTGTATCTATTTACTATTTTACTGTATCTATTTTACTATTTATCCTTCTCTATTTACTAATAAAAAAGAAGAAAAAATTGCTTTGCATCTTATTTGAGTCAATATTTCCCTCTGTAAAAATCTTTGATCTAATTAATTCTACTCTGTAACAATGGTACATGATTCAGATATTTTCTTCATTCAGAGAATGTGCTTGGACATTTGCAGAATTTAATCAGAAGAACAGTATCATAAATTATTTTTATTTCTTGGTAAATTTTAACATGGAAAAGTTTACCGAACAACAACAACAACAACAAAGAAAGAAAGTTTCCTGTCAAAGGGATCATGGAAAGGTATGTGTAGATTTTCTACCTTTATAAATGATTTGCCAAATCAGCTAAATTTTGTATTCTTCTGAAAAGCACTTAAAGCTCCCTTTATGTAAAACAAAATCAACTCTGTGTCTTATCTTCTTTTTTTATTTATACTGTAATAACCTCTTCTATAAATATTTTTCTGATTGTGATATAATTTGTAGTTCAAGAAATTTTGGAAAAAGGAAAAAGATAGAGACTAGCTATGGCCCACTATACAGTGAAGTCCACTTAACAAGATTTGTCATTTTATATTTCAGAATTTTTCTTGAATTTTTCAAAATAGCATTTTTATGACTTATTAATTAACACATGGATTATTAGATTTATTGTAATTAGTTTTTAATCATTAGAAAGTATATACATAATTTAAAGAATATAAATATACATTAGTTTATATAATATAATATTCATCAGTATGTATTTTAACTACCTTTCTATGATAGTTTGTTAAAAACTAAATTCTACCCTATTAACAATGTATAACTAAGTAAATTAATCATAATTTGATTATATTGGTTAATATCAATAATGAATGAATGAATGAATGTATATTTTGGTGTTCCAGACTCTGGGTGTCCTAAATTGCTTTAATATTTAGGTATGGATTAACATGGTGGAATCCATTTACCATGAATACTAAGTTGGATTTATAAGAGTTAAGAATAGGATCAAATTTACTATTTGGATTTTATATGGCTTGGTATTAGAATGTACTTTTAGATTATCTTTTTTTTTTATGTATGTGTGTGAGTATGTGTGTGAGTTCACATTACCTTTTGGGATAGGGCAAGGCTTAAGATTAGTGGAAAGAGACAAATCATAAACAAATAGTTATTAAACTATGAGCAAATATGCCTTGAAGTCTTCTCCAAACACTACTTTTTCTTTTGAGGTTTGCTATGAGATCTTATATTAGATGCCACTTAAGTTTAAATGCAAATACACTAAAATAAAAAACTCATTGAGCTACATTATTCACATTAAAGTGACAAATAACTGATTTATTATCCAATGATGTAACAAGAACAGGTTGATAGTGATATGAATATTTAATGGAGGAAAGGTAAAAGGGCCTATAAAAATAAAAGTATAAAAGTACTTGAAAAAAATAAAAGGATAGGAGAAATAAAACCCAGGGCACTGAAACATACTATTTACCGTCTTGTTGAGGAAGGATACTGATCCAAAATCTAAGGGCTAATCAATTGTGAGTGCCTTGGGGAAGGAAATTCTATGGGGACTCAATCTAAAGGGGTGGGGGGGAAACAAATATTGTCTAAAATTTTTTTTTAAATGATAAATGTTAAAATAAAAATTAAAAAAAAAACACAAAAAAACAAAGTGGTACAACTGGAAAGCAGGAAAGAATGTTGAAATACAAACAAAATGTTCTTTACAGTAACTGAAGACTCACTTGCCCAATATATATAGAAATTAAAGTTATTTGAAGCAAGTTTTGCTTGTATAGTCATTTTCTTTTAAGGGCACTTTCAATGTGAGATTTAAAAGCAAAATCAAGCTTAAATAAGTTAAACAGATAAGAGATGAGTTATTGGTTGTATTAAATTCTACTGCAAGAAGAAAAAAAATAAACTGAACTCTAGGTTTGACCTTATGAAACAATCTTTGCAACCAAGTGTTTTGACTTTAAAAGATTCATTTAAAGAAAAGTGGAACATGCAAACACTTAAATTAATATATCTATTATACACTTTATAAATATGTTTTGTTTGTCACCAAAACTTTTATTTTGGTCTAAATAAGGCAAAGTATTTATTTTGATATTTTATTATTTTGATACATAAATATCTGTGTCTTTTTCTACAAAAGACACAAAATTGATCCTAGTAAATTATTCATGTATGTGACCTTATTTGTAGGATTACCTTCTGAAACTATTTTACACTTCAGACCTAAATGCTGTTTAGTAGAAAACAAATTGCTTCTTAGACTGAAGATGTTTGTAGGAACTTTCTTTTCCAACAGTCTTGTTTAAGGGATATTTCTGTTGGAAATGTGACAGCTAATGACAGGAAGTAACTTGTTGCAAAATAAATATGGTATAAACATTAATCAGGGATAATCACTTAAGGCTACAGAAAGTGTCCATTACTTTATGCTCTGTTACAAAGGATAAGTGAGAAATGATGATCTGGGGACTTATTGTACTTATATTTTGGAGGATACTAATAAATACCTTGTCAGGAGATATTTTTAAAATAACCAACCATAATAAATGTAGTCTAGATCAAGAAATAAAGTTTGAATATTTACCAAATCTAAATTGTTAGCTATACAGATTAGATGCTCTAGGAAAAACTGACAAGCCCATTTCTCAGGAAAATTATACAAATGCAGGTTTACAATTTCCCTCTAAAAAACAGCTTGAAATGAAAATAAAATACAGCAGTAACACTAAAACCAGAAAATGGTTCTACTTCATATTATAAAATGGAAACAACATAAGCTAGTTGAATTGCAATTTGGACCCTTTACTTACCAAGAAAGATGTATTGAGCACCTATCATGTTATTGGAGAATTGGTGGGTGAGAAAGACTGAGGAATGAAGGAAATAAACAAATTTTATGCAACCTGTTATGCAAAAGACAGATTTAAAAACTCTAGGTATCTGAATAAAATTATATATAACATCTCTTAAAGAAAAATTTCACAAAGAGAATGCAAACGGATCCAACCACTATGGAACACTGTATGGAGTACCATCAAAATACTAAAAATGGATCTACCATATGACCCAGCAATTCCACTCCTAGGAATCTACCCAATAGCACAAAATCAGTAATTCTAAAGGAAACCAGTACTATTTACAATAGTTTAGATATGGAAACAATCTAAATACCCAAAAACAGATGAATGGATCAAGATGTGGTATATATACACAATGGAATACTATTCAGCAATCAAAAAGATAAACTCATGTTATTTGCAGCAACATGGATGGAACTGGAAAGGATTAGGCTCAGTGAAATAAGTCAGAAGGAAAAAGAAAAATACCAAATGGTTTTACGTATAGGAGGAATATAGGAGACCTGAACAAAGGGTTAGGAAAAAGACAAAACTTGCAGGAAAACTATAGATCTGAGACAAGAGATGGGGAGAGAAAGGGATTAAAACAGGGGAGGAAAGAGCACAAGGGACTATGGTGATGGTTCACAGGTGAGGTAGTAATGGGAGAAATCTGAGGGGAGAAATCAAATACTATACAAAAATGAAAATGATGTAAGAACTTCAAAAATCCTTTTGATTGGTTTAATAGTCTTTCAGATCTTGAATATCATTGCTCATTTACCACACTCTAATTTAGACAAGCAAGGTCAATTAAAGGAGTTCATCATGCATCCTACTTTAGGTTATTCTTATGTGCCTATAAAAAATGCATATTTACACAAAAACGTGATGGTACCTCCAAAAGAATACAAATTAAAAATGCTTGCTACATCTCATGCACTGCTATATTTCAGGCACAAAAACCACAGCACCTACATGAGGGGGAAAAAAAAAAAAAGAAAAATCTCACAAAGAGCAGATCAAAAAAGTAAAGATGTGGAAAATAGTAGACAATAGCTGATAAACATAATGAAAGGCAAAGTAGATTAACATATTGATAATTTCTATGACTGGTGAAGAAATGTGAAACTAAAAAAATATTTAGATGTAAGATTCAAGATAATTTTTCTGGATAACTAAAGATTGAAATGCCTCATTACAACCCAGAAAACTGATGAAATATGATACTGAAACATTTACTGATGTTTAGTAAATTTCAAAATCCAAAGAAACCAAAACCTTAAGAAACCAAGACAGAGATAGCTACATGCATAAGAAAATATATAGGATATTTGCAGGCTTCTGTTCATCAATATTAAGTGACAGAATATAATGGAGGTGGGCTTTTGCTTCTACCCTGGTTAAGGTCCCACTCTCTAATCTTTTAGTTTAAGTGCTGGCAAAGAAGACTAAAATTCTGTAGAAAATCCTGTTCTGGGGTAAATGAATTGATCAGGCTTTTATGTCATTGGCCTCTGTGGCTTACACCCTGCTGCCTTGATCTTGTTAATGTAGAGGGCATATTGGGTGATTGTGGATGCCTAGAGAGCAGGGATAAAAAAAACTACAGGAGAGGGCCTCCCCGGTGGCGCAGCGGTTGAGCACTGGGTTGCGAAGCTGCCTGCAGCCTCTGCAGCGCCAGTTCGATCCCCGGCCACCAGGTGAGGGTCCCACGTGGCGCGCAGACCTCTCCTGCCACCCGCTGCCTCCTCAGCAGTGTATTTCATCACTCTGCCTGTTCTGTTCCCTGCTCTGGCTCTGGTGAATTCTCTCACCCCCCCTCACTTCTGACTGTACCCAGTGCTTGTATAAATAAATAAATAAATAAATAAATATCTTTTAAAAAAAAAGAAAAGAAAAGAACTACAGGAGAATGCTATGAGAGGATGAGCGGTGTGATTACAGAAGAGGTGAGACCATGACAGGACACCAGAGAGAGACCAGAGAAAAGAAAGCTCACAGATTGACATAGCTGTGGACTGGAGGGCTGGTTGTTGCTAGCCTCCTGCCCCCCTCACCACCACCCCCCAGACCCCTCTGCCTGCTCTGCACCTGGTCACCCTACTACAACTGGAGAGTAAAAGGGGAGATTTTGAAGAAGTAAGAAATAGAAAGAGGTTGTCCCAAATTCCATGCCGAAACTCTACTCGAGTGGCTTGCTGAAATAAATCATCCCTGTCTAAACCATTCACAATGTAGCTCAACTGAGATTTGAGCTGCCACTAAGAGATAGTGGTAACAATTAACTTCAATGAAAGAGCTGTGTGGCTATAATATTTATCTACGTTTACAATTACAGACTAGATTGTAAATATAATTTTAAAAACATGCACTAATATAAACATGAGAGCAATTAGAATAAAACAAAAGCTTGTTCATACCTACAAAATTGGAGGTGGCACAGATA